TTCGCATCTCCAAGATCTGTCATTGCAATAGTGCAGGACTAAGTGCTTTTCCATATGAGTTCCAAATTTTCAAAGACTAGACAACTCCTATGCTATTTAAATAATTCAGAGTGTAGAGGAAGATGGAAAGCTCCCTGGCTCATTGTCATAAAGCTGTAATAAGTCTAAAGCCATAGCCTACTTTAAAATAATACAGAACAATTGAAGATCACGTTTACTTGTGAATATAGGTAAGAAAAATTTTTTTAAAAAAGGTAAATCAAATCTAGTAATGTATTAAAAGGACCAATATGACCAAATAGGGTTTGACCCATGAATTCAAGAATAGTTCAAACATTGGAAAAGTATAATTTAATAATTTTAAGAAATTGAAGGAGAATAAAAACATGGTCAATGCTAAAAAAAGTTCAACTGGCCACTCTTAATTTTTTAAAACTTTATTTAAGATAGAGTGAATCTTCCCAAAATGTTGAAAGTTATTTCCTAGAAATTAATAAACACTGAAAGCATTTTCATTAAAATTGAGAAAAGAGGAGTCCCTTCTGCCAACACTAATAGTCAACAGCGATGGGTGGTGGTATATTACAGATAAGAAAAATAAATATTAAGACTAAAACTGATTATTACTCGCAGTTGCGAGAATTTTCATACCTAGATAAGAGATTAATATAAAAAACTTGTTGAAACTAAAAAGCAAACTTCAGTAATTCATGGCATATAATATAATACACAGAAAATAATAGCTTTTTTAAATATACTGGTATTAGTCTGATAGAAATAGAAATGGGGGGAAATCCTTTTATAGTTGTGACTAAAACCATCTCATAAAAAAAGGACAAACATAAATATAACAGGAAAATGCAAATCATGATGCTAACTGTAGAACATTTTGAAAGACGTAAAGTATGACCTAAATGGTTGGAGAGACATGCCAAAGAGAGGAAGCGGGGGGGAGAGATAGAAACATCAATGATAAGAGAGAAGCATTGGTCCACTGCCTCCTACGTACCCACTATTGGGATCGAGCCCACAACATGGGCATGTGCCCTGACTGGAATCGAACAGTGACCTCCTGGTTTATAAGTCGATGCTCAAACACTGAGCCATGCCAACTGGGCTAAAAGTAATTTTTATCGTAATTCCATTCACACGCTTTTAGTTCATTAAAATGATCCTCACACTGTGGAGTAAGTGTGAGGTTTGCCAAAAGAATCCTAGCAGGAAGGCCTCTTTTCATTGTTCTTTATCGCACACTCAGTCCTGCCTCCCAAAATGCCTTTAAAGCAGCGGTTCTCAACCTGTGGGTCGCGACCCCTTTGGGTCACAGGGGTCGCCTAAATACATCCTGCATATCAGACATTTACATTAAGATTCATAACAGTAGCAACATTACAGCTATGAAGTAGCAACGAAAATAATTTTATGGTTGGGGGGTCACCACAACATGAGGAACTGTATTAAAGGGTCGTGGCATTAGGAAGGTTGAGAACCACTGCTTTAAAGGAAAAGTACGGAACTCAAAAAGGAATCAACTTATGACAATGAAGAGGAAGGGGAAGGAGCCTATAATACATTGAAGGTTCAGCATATCTCTGGTTGGCAGAAGGAGGCCCAGAGGATCCCACAGGATAGAGGAAGCCCCGCCCCAAACGCCCTGCAGGGGTGCGAAGGTGGCATGGTGTAGGCCTCCCAGCTCTGAGCCCCATAGCATCTCTGGCCTCGGGGAGGAGATGAAAATAGGGCCGTTTTCAGAAGTCTGTATGTGATCAGCTCTGCCATCCACCCTCCTTATGCTCTTCGCCAATTTCCACATGCAGAAGACCCAGTAGCGTAGAATGTGCCCCCAAATTATGCCAGGACTTTTCCCTGAAGAAGCTGATGCTGAGCAGAAACTACCCCCCCAGAGTGAAGCATTCCTGAATTATCTGAGGAGGGGAGGTGGTGGAGGGGAAGTGGTGGAAGGGAGGAGAGGCTGCCCCCTGGGGAAGCTTTCCAAAACCCGCACCCCCAGCCTGGGGCTGGGCTGCCACAAGTAACTCCTTCAGCTCCTTGCTTTCCGTGGTATCGTGCCTGGAGGATTTCCAAACGTGTCTTTAGCCGTGACCTGTCCCCTAAGCTCCATGCACATGCGTCTACCCACTGGCTATAATGTCGCCATAAGAACATCTAGAGTGAAGCATTCCTGAATTGTCTGAGGAGGGGAGGTGGTGGAAGGGAGGAGAGGCTGCCCCCTGGGGAAGTTTTCCAAAGCCCGCACCCCTAGCCTGGGGCTGGGCTGCCACAAGTAAGCTCCTTGCTTTCCGTGGTATCGAGCCTGGAGGATTTCCAAACGTGTGTCTTTAGCCGTGACCTGTCCCCTAAGCTCCATGCGCATGGGTCTACCCACTGGCTATAATGTCGCCATAAGAACATCTAAGCCGTGGTGGTCCCAGCGGTGAATGATGACCCAACATACGTTTCTGGAGACTCTGTCGTCTTGCCCTCCCCTGGCCTCACTGTCTAGAGTCTAGACAGACTGCTGTCCTACAGGCATAGGGCCCCACTGCTCAGGCAGGGTCTGTGGGCCACAGTTCGGTGCTCGGACTGTCTTCTCAAGATGGCGAGGAGCCACTGGAGGTTCTGAGCAGGAGGGTGATGGGATCTGATCAAAGTGTTTAAAAATAGCCGCTGGGGCTCCTGTGTGGAAGATGCATCGTGGGACTTGGATTATTTCTTGGAGGACTTTCTCCAGCATCCTTCTCCCAGCCAGTGGCAGCAGACTCCACTGCACATCCAAGGTGGAAAGTCGGGAAGAGCAGCAAGTGACACGTGATCAGGCCACAGCTTCTACACGAAGCCCCGCACCTTGGCAGTCACAGTCAGCGTTGGCGTAGCTTCACCCTCTCTGGTTCCTGCAACTGCGCTGCTTTGAGAGAATTGGTTAAGCCCCCTCTGCATCGACCGGTGACGATTCTGAAGTGAATGTTGCCCCGTTCTCTAGTGCCTGGCCAGGAAAACGTGAAGTTCGTTAGGAAAGTCAGGACAGTGCTGGAAGCCCAGAGGTCAAGGCTGAGTTGACCTACCAGTGTCTTTCAACTTGTTTTTGGATTTCTTTTTAAAAAACTCTCAATGATTTATAGACCAATAACTAAATCAGTGATGGAAGTGGCCGGTTTTCTTCCCTCTAAATTTCTACGTTTAGTAACAATGAGCCTGGGGTCAGTGAAACGAGAGCATCCTCTCAAGGCAAAGCGGGCAGCGTCAGGGCCGCGGGCAGCGGTGTTTCCTTGGGTGATGTCATCTGGAATTGCTGCCGTTCATCAGCGTAATGATAGTTTCTGCTGCCTCTTCAGCCGATTTGGGCGAGAGCGATGGCTGTATTAAAATGCAGGGGAGTAAGGATGGATGGCTGCTGTGAATTCTCCTTAAAGATGTCCCAGCAACACAGAGGGGCTACTTCCTCAGGTGCTTTTAGATAGCAAAAAAGGGTGGGAAATATTGTTATTATTAAGTGGTTATTTTTTTTCTTGGTTAATATATTCTCTGACATTAAATATTCCTATATAATTTTTTGACAAAACACTGCACCAGGCAATATTTTTAAAATGGAATGTAAAAGGAGAAAGATTTTGAAATGCATTGTACTGTGTAGATTGCATTTCAAAATCTTTCTCCTTTTACATAAAGGGAACTAAGCAGTACAAATGTGATTTGAAATTGTTTTAATACAGTTTTAAAATTCAAAATGTTTACTTTGAGATATTTCCAAGTTTTATGTGTATATATGTGTGTGTCTGTGATCTCATCTCTCCCACAAAACATTGGATTTAGCTAATAACAATGTTTACAATAAAGTTAGGGTTGACAGATAAAATATAAGATGCCAAATGGACATACTTACACTAAAAAAGATTCATTGTTTACCTGAAATTCAAACTTAATTGGGTGCTCCTTTTTTTTTCAAGTCTGGAGAGCCTTTATAAAGTAGAAAACATGAGTAAATCAATGAAGGTAGGATAGGGTGAGTTTTCAGTACAAATATGAAATCTAATATAATTGCAAAAGTTGAGCCATGGTCTTGGCCTTGAGTCCTGGTTGCTGGGCAGAAATGGACATATAATCACTTACAAGATGTGCATCATCCAGAAAGTGGGGTGTACAGAGGGGAGACATTTACTTGGGGCAAGAAGCATGGTCTAGTTTGGGGGTCTGATGCAACACTTTTTCAGTCTACATTAAAGGGACCCTTTCTGATGGGGGGGGTGGTGTAATATCCACCTTGTATTGAGCATTTAATGAACTAGACAGTCTTTCAAAGTGAAGTTGTTTTTTTAAAATTTAGATGAAGTCCATTTTCCGTTTTGTACATTGTACTTTCTCAGTTCTAGCTAAGAAATCATTCCCTCGCTCAAGGTCAAAAAGATTCTGCCTATGATTTTTCTGAGAAGTTTTAGATTTTAGATTTAGTTCTAGCACCCAATTTTTTAAAAAGAACCTTTGAGTACATGCAAAAACAATGCTTTCTCTCCTACCTGTTTAGTTGATAATGATTTGGACACAGACAAGTTCCAAGTGTTCCATTATATCTTCTAGGAAGTGAATTTCTCTAAGCAAGTTAATAGTAAGCAACACTCTAAGGGGCATGCCTCAGAAAATTTCATACAGTTTTCACACCCATAGACACACACACACACACACACACACACACAGCCCTGTATGAACATATGCATTAAATATATGTATGTAAAACCTATGCTGGCCCCTGCTTGCTCCAGGCTTTCTTTGCTGTGGAGTACAGGGAGTACTGCAGGACTGCCTTTGGATTTTGTGGTGTGAGCTTTCTTTGAGTCACTGTGTGCATTTTGAAAACGATCCATTCAAAAAACCCCACACCATTCAGTTAGTCCAATGTTGTGCTCAGACTGATGTCTTCCCCGTGAAGGCACATTTTACTGTGGTTCCTGAGGGACACCGACGCCCTCTCTGACGGAGCCTAAGCAGTCCTGTGTGTTCCTTTTCAGCTTCCTGCTGAGGATCCTGAAATTTTTGAGGTTTCATCCAAGTGCCTGTCCATCCTGGTTCAGCTCTACGGGGGAGAAAACCCGGACAGCCTGTCCCCTGAGAACGCAGAGAGCTTTGCCGACTCACTGACATCCAAGGAGGACCCCAAGGAGCAGAAGCTGCTGCTGCGGATTCTCAGGAGGATGGTGAGTCCGCCGGGGAGCTGGGCCGGGCGGCGGCTTCCGTGGGGCCGGTGGGCAGGGAGCAGGTGTCATCTTGGACCTCGTCCCAGCCGCCTGTCCCCATAGTCACCTGTTGTCACCCTGTATCCGATTCTGCCTGTCAGCATCGCTTTTCTGAACTGGAGAGTTAGAGAGCGTGGCGCCCCCTCGCCCCTTCGTAAGTGTGCATTTCCTAACAAAACAGGCGTTTTCTCACTTACCCACTGTCATCAAAAGCGGGAGATTTAACCTGATGCCCTTGTTTTACTCCCCTGCCCTCCATATCCCGATTCTGTCAGCGGCGCCAATGCCCTCTGCAGCCTTTTATTCTGGGTGGGACCCAGCTGGGAGCGCGTACTTTGGTGGACACGTGTCTTTAATCTGGAAAGTCCTGCAACCTTTCTTCGTCTTCATCACACTTTGGGAGACTGCAGGCTGGGTATTTTGCAGAATCACCGTCAGTTTGTGTCTGTCTGACGTCCGTTCGATTCAGGAAAACTCCTGAACGGATATTGTCTTTCTCAGTTCAGCACCTCCAGAGGCTCACGGTGTCTGTCTGCCCCTGGCGGGTGATGGTCATTTTGATCACCGCATTCAATCAGTGTACACTTATTATTTTTAAATTCCTGGTAGTTGCACAGTGGAGATTTCCCAACTCTCAGTCCTCTGTGCGGGAAGACTTTCCCTGCTGTCCCGTGTCTGTGTTCCGGGAGCTGATGCTGAAGGTACTTTTGAAGACGGACTGATTTTCTTTTCCTAACAAATCTGTCTCTGCTGGTTCTGAAGGCTGTTCTTTGCAGTGGCTGCTGTTGAAGTGTATGAAGGGCTGAGGGTCCTGCTGGTCTGGCTCATGTTCTGGTTGGTCGGTCTGTTCGCCTCTAGACACAGGCATCTGAGGAGGCCTTCGGACAGCGCAGCTATGGATGGGACAGGGGGTTGCACTCAGGGTAACTTTGGTGCCAATTTGATAAATAGATGGCGGTGCATGGCCCAGCTCAGTCTACCTGGCGGATTATGGTGACAGCCTGGGAGTTTAAAAAATTCACCCCCCCCCCCCCGCCCCATTTCTACTTTATGCTTTTGTACAGCCGGGTCCCCCACCCCCACAAGACTTGCCGTCTCAGCGAGCCATTCCCTGAGAACACAGAGCGATGACGGGAGACAGGAGATTGCGCACCAGCCTGGCCCGAGGAACACTGAGTCACATGGGCAGGCAGGGGTTCCCTTTCCGTTTTCTTTGTCTCTCTGATGATTTAGGGTGAGAGTCTCGGTCTGGCACTCCTGTGCCTTTAACACCTCTGGGCTTCTTCAGAATCTCCTTTGTCCCACAGGGTAGACCTCTCAGGAACTCGGCTTTTACAGTTAGAGATATTTCTCTAAAATTGGAATTTTATTCAAATAAACAAAGCTGAGTCACCGTGAAGACAAGTACTAGGGAATGTAATAACACGAGTGATGTCTGGATCTGGCAAAATTGTGATTTTGGTAGAGAATGATCAATGCTTGGGAAATATTGATCTAAATCGGATGTGATTAATTTCATAGAGATCCACTGCCTCTTCTTTGAAACGTTCAGAACCAGGTTTGTTAGGAAACGCATAATTTTCCCATCGCTGTGGCATGGCGCTTGTACTATGTGAGACGGCGCCCTTTCAGGTAGAACGATGGGGCAGTGACGCTGTCTACCAGGGGAATATTTCCGCAGCCAAATGTGTGCGTGTGCACAGCGAGTGGGTAAACGCAGCCTCTGTGGGCCGGTGCGGGCTCGGGTCAGGTTTTGCCACCAAATACGTTCTTGATCCAAACTTAGGGAAGCAAGTTTGGGTTTCAGAGCTCTTTAGAATTGCAGAGAGGCGATTATGGGCCTGTCTTGGAAATAAATGACACCATTTTCTAAAATACTGGTCGCATTAATCATGCAGCAAGCCAATTAGACCCCAAGTTGGTCAGAGTAACCAGACGCCGCCGCCTTTTAGTTTATTTTACTGCCTGAAATGATCGCCTTAGAGTTTCTGACCTGCTGCATAAAGGACCAGGTAGATGGTGTTCATGGAAGAAAAATTGAATGTAAGTGACTTTTTACCCATTTATGGGGAAACAACTTACCTCTTTTTAAAAATTATGGTAAAATTCATATAAGATTGACCAATTTTACCGTTTTTAATTGTACAGTCGGGAGCATTAAGTGCAGTCACATGGCTGTGCAACCATCACCACCTTCCATCTCCAGAGCCCCTTCCTCCCAGATGCAACCCCGCCCTTTAACAATGACTGTCCCTCCACCCCACCCCCTCCCCCAGCACCGGGTAACCACCATTCTTGAAATACCTGTTTCAAGTCCCAGTTTTGTGCTTTTCTTTCTAAAACTGCAATGTTCACTAACAGATGAAAGACTGAGGAAGTTTACTCGGTGCTAATGGTGCTGCCCCCAGGGTGCGCTTCCTCACTTAGTCTGTATTTAGAACATCCACAGAGTTTAATTATCCATTGTCATTGCCAGGAAGTCGGGCGGTTCTATAATTATACTCTGTTGTAGCTTTAAAACTGTGATGGAAATCACCCTGCAAGGTGCTCCCCAGTCTGCCTCTCTCCTGAACTCCCTATCAATGGGAGTTTTCCCAGAGTGATGATTGCAGATTAGCTGCTTGTCTTTTAATTAAAGCTGCCTTACTCCTGCACTCAGGGTATCGACTGCGCAGAAACCACCACAGCCTTGTTCTGCAAAACTGGCTTCAGCGCGTACCCCTGGCTACTGTGAAGGCAGAGGTGATGGTAACTGATGTCCCGACTCCCCCCTGCCCGCCCAGCTACCCTGCAGCAGGGGTGCGATC